GACCTGGGGCGGCCACAGAGCTTGGGGTCACGCTGGGCGGGACGGGAGCCCCAGCCCAGGAGCCTTCGGGGCGCAGCCACTGCAGAGCGATCCCAGGTGGGGCCTGCCGTGAGGCCAGCGGCCACTGGACTAGTGTCCCGGCCCTGCACTGGTCGGCTGCACACCTGCGTCTAGGGCTGGTATCAGGATTGAACCCGGCCCTTTTTTAGACAGAATCTTGCTGTGTGGTCCAGGCTGGCCTCAGCCTCCGAGGTGCAGGGAGGGATCGCAGGTGTGGGCCATCACCACGCTTGGCTTGAGCCAGTGTAAGGATGTCCAGTTTGTTCTGGGAGTGCAGTGCTTTCCTGGCCCGGTTCCATCGCTAGCTAGGTGAATAGACTGCAGGGCCACACTTTTGCTACGTTAGGGTCGCTCAGGCTGGGTTTGGTGAAGGACAGTTGAAACTTCAAGGGTGGCAGCGTCCTTACTTCTGTGACAGTCTTCTCTCCACGTGCACCCTCTGCTGGTTAGTGTGGAGTGAGCTCTGAAAAAAAAGTGCACGCGACTTCCCCAGAATGCGACTCCCAGTATTGCACCCTAAACGTGTCACATAGAGCGTTGTACCTGTGGAACTGGGAAGTCACATCAGCAGTGATGGCAGTGAGGATGATGATAACTTGGGGCGCGCGGTTTATTATTCCTGTTTCATAGATAAGCAAAGTGAGACCCAAGGACGCTGTGTGACACACATTAGGTCATACAGCCAGGCTAACAGCCCTGCCACTCCAGCGCTTTGTGGGGCTGAGGTAGGAGATGACAAGTTGGAACCCTGGGCAACTTGGCAAGTTAGCGAGACCCTGCCTGAAAATTTAAAAAGGGCTGGAGATGTAGCCCAGTGAGAAAGGGTTCGGTCGTCATGATGAAACGCGCGCACATGCACACACTTTGGCTTCAAACCTAGGTGTATTTTCCCACACGGAACTTCTATGGAGATATTTTTTCTTGAGATACTCTTGGCACAGCTGTGCTGATGTGTCCTCAACTCATATTGTCTCTCACTTTCACTACTTCCCTGCTGTTTCAAAGACACAAATCAAGTGTTACTATGCCTCTGAATTGTCTGATTTCACCTGCAGAAATTTGATCTGTGAAAACCGAGACGCCATCTTCAGAGACGCCCAACATGTGCTCTCCTGGCAGTCCCAAGATCCTCTACCGGAACCCGCGGTTCCTCCACTTGGCCTTCCTGCAGCTTCATCAGCAGCAGCAGAGTGGTGTGTTCTGTGACGTCCTGCTGCAGGCAGAAGGTAAGAGCCTGATGGGACCCAACCGAAAACCACTCCCAAATAAGATGGAGTGAATTTAAGGCGGAGGTGAAGGGCAAAACCAGAAGACTGTTATTACCTCTCAGTACTGGAAACATTTGGTAAGGAGCTGTTTATTTCCAGGACAGTTACTGTTCTCAAGAGTGAAACTGTGACTGTGATTTTTTTGGTCATCTTTTGGCAAGACAGGGTCTTGCTATGTATAGTCCAGGCTGGTCTCAAACTCACAGTGATCCTCCTGCCTCAGCCTCCCGGGTGCTGGGATTACAGATGTGCACCACCACGCCTGGCTTGTTTTTTCTTTTAAAAAAAAAATTGTAAAATTCTTTGAGCATAGAAATTCTCTAAAATGTTGATAACTTCATGGGATGATTGTAAAGATTGTTAGCATATGTTAAGCACTTAAAACGTTGCTCTTAACATACTAACCACAACATAGATGACACCATTGTGTTTTCCCATTTTCTTTCTAAAGTCTTGTGCTTTTTTTTCTTATCTCTAAATGGGATTCTTGTTTGTTGATGGAGCAACAAACGTGTAGCTTATTCCCACTCCTTCTCCTCCCATGAAAATGTTAAATTAGCAGGAAGTAGACTGTGGTATCATGTAGAACACTCAAAATTAGTAGTCAGAACCCTGGATTTAGTCCTAGTTACTTAGTAACTGTCAAGCAAGTAATTTCATCTCTGTGGAGCTCAGTCTCTTCGTTTATAAAAAAAGATTGTGGCCAAGCATGGTGGCGCATGCCTGTAATCCCAGCACTCAGGGAGGCTGAGGCAGGAGAAATGCAGAGTTCCAGGCCAGCCTAAACTACATAGTGAGACCTTGTCTCCAAACAACAAAAGGATTGTGACATTGTGTAGCACCCTGCAGTTTGCAGAGTGCATAGCACATAGTGATTCATTTGACTCTTAGGCTGTGTGAGATAAGTAGCGTTATATGTTCCAATTCTAGAGATAACCGAATTGAGGCTTCCGGTTAACGCTTTTCCTTTTTTTTTTTTTTTTTTTTTTTTTTTTTTCTCTTTTTTTTTTTTTTTTTTTTTTTTCCTCCTTTTGGTTTTTTTGAGACCGGCTCTCACTGTGTAGTTGAGACTGACCTGGAGCTCACTATGTCTCCCAGGATGGTCTCAAACTCACAGCATCCTCCTGCCTCAGCCTCCAGAGTGCTGGGATTATAGGCATGCACCACCACGCCCAGCTCCTGTTGGTTTAGTAACTATGCAGCTCAGATTCATTTTTCATTCAAACACAAAAATCGCCACACGTGGTGGTGCATGCCTGTAATCTTACTACTCAGAAGGCTGAGAAAGGAGGATCGCTGCAAGTTTGAGGCCTGGGCTACATAGGCCGTTCAAGGCCAGCCTGAACTCCACAGCAAGACCCTGTCTCAAAACACCAAACACACAAACACACACCAGCTCCCTGATGGATGCTATACACTGCTAGGGCATACAAGGATATAGTCCCTCCTCTGAAGGAAATCATGTTGGGGAGAAATCAAATGACAAGCACAATACTTTAACAATCTAATTGGTAATAAAATAGAAGCTAAGATAGGGTCACAGAAGAGCACCCTTCAAAGACATGAGGCGGCTGGGAGAGGGTGCAGGAACTGTTCTTGGAGAGAATCTATGAAATGGAATCTGAAGGACAAGCTTAAGTAACAGATTTCTCCAGATGGAGAGAGAGCCACATACAGAGATGGAGAATTCTATCCCGAACCCTGGAGAGGTTTGTTAGGGCCAGAGCTCAGAGGGAGGGGTCTGCTCAGGAGAGCTGGAGGAACGAGCGCTCCCCGCCCAGGTTAGGGGAGGACATCCACTTCCCACTTAACGGCGCACAGACTGGTTGGGAATCACTTGCCTGGTCATAGCACCCGAAAAGGAGGGGATGATGGTTGGAACTACGGCATCAAGAGTAGAGATGTCTGGGCTTTTGAAGAGAATTTTAAAACTTGCTGGAGTGTTCAGGAGTGTAGACTCTTCAGATCTTACACCTGCTACTTACTGTAATCATGGCCATGTTACTCAGCTATATCCAGTAGCTACTTCACAGGATTGCAGTGAAGAATAATTTGATTTACACTGGTGAAACTCTTACAACAGTGCCTGGTGGCATATAATACGCAAGTCTTAGTCCTTTAAAAATTGTGGTTTAAGCTAGGTATAGTGGCATCCACCTTCAACACTCAGGAGGTAGAGACAGGATCATGAGGTCAAACTCTTTGAAAAAGAGGGCCAGGAATTTAGCTCAGTGGTTCTGCCGCCTGCCTTGCAAGGGCCCAAGTTCAATCCGTTACCAAAAAAACAAAAAGGGCTGGGGATTTAGCTCAGTGGCACAGCACCTGCCTCACAAGGACAAGGTCCTGAGTTCAATCCCCATTGCCGGGGGGGGGGGAAGAAAAAAGGTTAATAGATAAGGGAGAGAGGAACCGGATGCAGTTTTCAGGCTTGGGCAGCTGGATGAATGCGTCTTACTTTGGGGTAGAAAATAGGGGCCGAGGGAGAATGAAAGGTATCAGGAGTTCACTTTTTGAGTCAGGGTCTCACTATGTTTTTCAGCCTGGCCTTGAACTCAGTGATCCCCATGGCAGCCTACCAGGTGCTGGGATTACCACATCTGGCTTTTTTTTCCTAAGACGTGGTCTTCTATGTAGTTCAGGCCAGTCTTCTGTTCACTATGTAGCCCAGGTTGGCTTCAAACTCACAATCCTCCTGCCTCAGCCTCTGAAGTACTAGGACTACAGGCATGGGCCTCCATGCTGAGCAAGTTCATTCTCTGGGAAAGGTACATCGGAGGGGCTTGTGAGGCATCGTGTCAAAACACCACTGTGATGTGTCTGCTAGCTCAGGAGCGCCATCTGTGGAGAGAGATGGACTGGGGCGCATCTCTGAGTCTCTGGCAGTCTCAGCTGTAGGAGAGTCTGAGAGGTGCCCATAAAATGAGAAGGTGGCTCAGAGCAGGCAGTGGTAGAGCTCAGGAGAGAAGGGACCCAACTGGCAGCCTCCACAGCTCTTGCTGTTCGTTAGACACAAGCTGCTGCTGTGACAGATTTTGAATTCTTAGGTGAGTCAATGAAGATGGATTCAGCAAGTACCCGCTGCCCTGCTCTGTGGCGAGTACTGCATGAGCCTACTTGGTCTCCAGGGCTGGGTGTACATGCATGAGCAGGACAGAGGAAAGAACCACCACCACATAGCTGTGGAGGACCCCACAGCCGGGCCCAGTCTCGCTCTGCAGGGTGGAGGGGCTTCTGAAGGGAGCTGGCCAAGCCAGGTTCTGGAAGTGAGGATGAGTTAGGCCACAGGGAATGGCGGATGGAGGTCCCAGCCCGCAGGAGCAGGGGTGGTGTGCAGGGTAGCCCTGTCTGCTCCTCCCCCGCATGCCAGGCCATGTATGACACAGCGTGTGGCTTTCCCCCAGGTGAGGCCGTCCCAGCACACTGCTGCATCCTGTCTGCCTGCAGCCCCTTCTTCACGGAGCGCCTGGAGCAGGAGACCCCAGCTCAGGGTCGGAAGGTGGTCCTGGAGCTGGGGGGCTTGAAGATTGGGACCCTGCGGAAGCTGGTGGACTTCCTGTACACGTCGGAGATGGAGGTGTCCTGGGAAGAGGCCCAGGATTTGCTGTCCGCAGCGCGCCAGCTCCGCGTGTCTGAGCTGGAATCCCTGCAGCTGGAGGGCAGAAAGCTGGTGAAGGCCCCGCAGGGCCGAAGGCTGAACCGCGAGTGCCTGCAGCCCAGCGCTGCGCCCATTTCTGCCAGAGTGGTAGCCCCCGGCTGCCACCTTCAAACACCACTGCCAGGCACCCAGCCTCCCTGTCCAGGGGCTGTGAGGTCACTGGGCCTTGGAAGGGAGGAGGGTCTCCCAGAGCAGAGCGCCCCACCAAGCTTGGGGAGCACGCCAGGCACGCTGATGCTGCTGCAGGAAAAGGCCAGGGCCTGCCGGGTCCCAGGGCCGAGCTCTTCCTCGGCCGGCCAGGGTCCAGAGCCCAAGGCAGACAAACAGGGCCCAGCGAGCCAGCCCGCAGCGTTGCTGCCCCGGAAGATCCGGCTCAGCCGCCCAAAGCCACCTCCCAGCGGCGGCCCATCGGGTGGACCCAGCTTGGTGCCCACAGCCCCTGGCCGGCGGCTCTGGCGGCAGAGGGCAAACAGAGGAACAGCGGATGACAGGCGGGAGCCAGACAGGGCCAGTCCTCTGAGAGTGCCCAGTCCCGCTGCGCCCAGTGGGAAGCGGGGCCCAGAGGCCAGGGTGCCCCCAGCTGAGCCCATGGAGGAGGGGCAGGTGGGGAGGGTGAAGCTGCGGAAGGTGGTCAACGGCACCTGCTGGGAGGTGGTGCAGGAGCCAGCCCCGGCCCTCAGGACCCCTGACCCCAGAGACGGAGCAGCTCCTCCCGGGGTCCCGCTGTCCCCAGGCAGTGAGCAGCAAGGGGCATCTGCCCGGCTGGCGCTGTACCAGGACTCCCCCGAAAGTGCCGGGGTGCTGGACATCATGCTGGCTGCCGGCCACTCCCCAGACCAGCCTGGGCCGGGGCGGCCCTTTGGGTCCAGCCCAGAGCTGCTGGGGAAGGAGCCCATGCTGAGTGGTAGCCACAGCGAGGACTGCGCCTTCGTGGGGGCCTCGAGCTCCATGGCCCCCAGAGAGCTGGAGGACATCCTCGACCTGGTGCTGTGTGGCTCGGACGCAGGACCGCCCAAAAGGTCCCCAGAGAGCCCTGGGCCAGAGGGCTGCAGGACGCCCAGCTACCACCTAATGGGCGCAGGTGGGGCCTGGATGGGAGAGGAGTGGTGCTTGCCAGACCTGGAACTCTGGTCCGGGGAGCTCACGGGGCTGGAGAAGGAACCTGCTGGGGAGAACAAAGAGCTGGCCCGGGCGTGGATGCCAGGTCTTGACGCCGCCACCTCCCAGCCACCAGATGCAGAGGCAGACAGACAGCACGTGGGCTCCCCGGGAAACCCCTTGACGCCAGGCTCCAGCTGGGCAGAGGGTGGGCTGGAGCTGTGCCCCGCTCCAGGGACAGGGCCTGACCCGCCCACTGCCAGCTCCGAGGACGAGATTGATGTAGTGAACTGGGCAGCAGAGGCCACGCTGGTGCCTGCCAGTACCCACTCAGTGTGGCCCGACCCCTCCTCAGAGTCCGAAACAGAGGTGGATGTGTTGACCTAGCAGAGGGGAGTCTGGATGGCCGGGCCCTTCTGCAAAGCCTGCAGCACTGCAGCTCAGCCCCTGGCTCTGGGATCCCACCCTAGGCCTCAGGAGCCAGGTGAAGTCCGGGGAGTACTGCGGCTCAAAAGGTAGAAACTTGAAGCGTCTCATACTGTTTTCCAGTTAGTGACAAGTCAGTGAACTGTCCCCGGTTCAGGCGGGCCGCAGGTACCAGGGAGACGGCTAGTCTGGCCAGTGGAGGAGCAGGAAGGAGCCCCGCCCTATGGCAGGGCCCACAATATGTGCAGGGGTTTGGGTGTCCAGGAAGCCCAGCTGACAGCTCTCCACAGGGCTAGGAGGATGCACTTCTGCCATCACTTCCAAGAAGTGAGTCAAAAAAGGTACGGTTGCTTTTTTAAAAAATTTCCTTTGCTCCCTCAGTTTTTACAAATATCTCACGTGCTCTACCAGAGGCCCTATGAATTCCAGGCCAGGTGGCCTTTAGGCTATGAAACAATAAAAGGTTCACCACCCCTTGAGGCTCCTCTGTCCCTCCCTTGACATGATTCTTTTACTCAGACAATACTTCACTTTATTAAATCACATCCAAACCGTTTACGAGGACTTGCTGGGGGCTGCCTCCTGTGAACGCTCATGTCTGGAGTGAGGGAGACCATGGTTTCAGGGCCATGGCTGGAGTTTGGCCATATCCCGTCACAGACGCTCCAACACCACCAGGACAAGCGCTGCAGAAGGAAGGAGCGGGTCAGAGACTGAGCAGGGTGTTGGATCCACGCCTTACCCCGTGAACCCACTCCCCCCGCTGGAGGGTCACCGTCTCCAGAGCTCCCCAGTGTGACCCCTGTAGATGGCACTAGGCACAGAGACTCTCGGGAGCCAGGAGTGGCTGAAGTGCAGGCACCTCTTAACCGAGGGCAGCCTGGCATGCTGGAAGATGGTGGTAAACCCATCACTCAGGAGGCTGAGGCGGGAGGGTGGCGGCCTGCATATTTCAAGGCTAGGGCTGGCCTGAACTACTCCAAAAAACCGAAGAACCTCAAGAATAAAACCCAGAAGGGTGTAGGGAACGGTACAGAGAAGTAACAGGTAAGCTACTGCCAGTACATCGGAAAAATCACTACCTCATGCTAAGACCTCGAGGATCAGTTTATGTACCTGCTATCTCAGTAAGAAAATCCATGAGATAAGTAATTCAGGCTTAAAATAGCCACCAGGAAGGCAGAAGTGAATTTGCAAGTAAATAAAGAACCGCTCCACACCCCCGGGCGACAGTGAACAGCCCCCCAACTCTAAAGGACACACAAACTGCCATCCGCAAAGAGCCGCTTCCGCCGGAAAGTCGTGGGCCCTCCGTCATCACTCTTCCAGACCCTGCCTCATTTAAAAATACGAGGGAGGCCGGGGATGTAGCTCAGTGACGCCGCAGCTGCCTGACAAGCACCAGGGCCCGGGTTCGACCCCCGGTACGTGACTAAGTAGATAAGAAAAAGGCAGGGTGCGGGACGCAGTCCCAGTACGGCCGAGCGCGGAGGACAGGCGCGAAACTCGCTTTCCGCTCCCCGGCTCCGGACCCCGGTGAAGCCCTCTCCCGCCGAACCTCAGCGTGGGCCTCCTGCCCGGACCCTAGGAAAGGTGTTTGGTCAGCTCCTGCACCACCGCCTGCGGCTCCGGGAACTTGAGTTTGCGCGGAGGCCCCTTCTCGATCCCGGTCCAGAGCTGGGCACCTGCGAAGGCGCGAGTGAGGCGGAGC